GAACAATGTGGAACAAAACTCAAAATCATTTGAAAAAAAAAAAAAAAAAAAAAGGGGGGACCAGGTTTGCTGGCCTGATGGAGCCTGGTGGAACCACTGAGACTATGGCCCCTAGCTGCCCTTCAGGTCTGGAATTGAACTCACATCTGTGGCTTCCAGCCAAGCAGTAGACAGGCATATGAGTTGAACATTTACCTGAAGTAGATACACTCCTTGGAGAGAACAAACAAGAGAGAAAGAAGGGCTGCTCAGGCACAGGGAGACAGCTCAGGGGGTAGGAGTGCATGGAAAGATGGACACAGGGAAGCGGTACCTATTGGGAGGAAGTGGGAGAGGAGATGTTGCATTGTGCTAAATTGTGGTCAATGTCATGAGACAACGTGTATGTGATCTGCTGTATGGAAAGTGTATTTGCTCTGTAAATTTTCACCCAAATCACAATAAAAAAAATGTGAGTGGAAGTGATATTTGCCATTTTTATGCCCAGCTCTTCAAAACTCCCTGCACATTCTGCCATATTCTTTCTCCATTTGCTGGCTGATGGAGAAGATAGAGGATGTAGACAGTAGAGGTACAAGACAGGTGGAGCCCAGATCCCTGAGTGGCCATTTGGAGAAAAGTCTGCTCTGGACTATTATGTGAACAAGGAATCAACTTTTATTGTTAAGACTTTGAAATATTGGGATCATTTGTTACTGAGCTTAGTCTTCTCTGACAAATACAAAGCATAATAAACCAAGAAACAAAAACAAAACCCAGTACCATCAAGTTAATTCTGACACATGGTGAGCCCACATGTTACAGAGAACTGTGCTCCAGAGAGTTTTCAGTACGTGTGACCTTTCAGAAGCAGATTGCCAGACTGTTGTTCCCAGATACCTCTGGGTGAATTTGAGCTGTCAGCATTTCAGTTAGTAGTGAAGTGCTTAACCATTTGTACCATCCAGGGATCCACAAAGCAGACTCGCTACCATTTATTGGACACTTGCTCTGAGTTGGGCACTGTGCTAAGTGCATTGTCTCATTTACTGTCCACAGCAACACTATGAGATGGGTACAATCACTAGTCCATTTGTATAGAAGGAACAGCTGAAGCTAAAAGGGCAGACAGTGGGTGAAGATCGTCTGATCCCAAAACCTGGACTTAGGGTTGAACTATGCCCTGTGGCTCCCAGTATTACAGAAATGGATTAAAATCGGATGAGGCAAGGAGAACAGGTGGGGAGTTACAGTCACACCAACAGGGAGCTCCTGCCTGTGAAATGGGGAAAAGAATAAGTATTGTAAAGATTAATTGAGAAAATGTCTATGAAGTGTCCAACAGAGTGCCTAGCACTCAGCAGGTGTATAATAAATGTTAGTTTATTTTCAAGACCAATCAAGAACCAGTGCAAGCTTGGACAAAGACAAGAGAGAAGTATTCAGGAAGCAGCACTGACAGGTCCCTGAGCACTGCAAACAGCATGCTCTCGGCTACTCACAGAAAGGTTGGCAGTTGGAACCCACTCAGAGATACCACAGAAGAAAGTCCTGCCAATCTTCTGTAAGATTACACCCAAAGCACCCTTTGCGGTCAAGTCCATTTTAACTCACAGAGACCCCATAGAACAGAATAGAACTGCTGCATACTATTTCCAAGGCTGTAAATCTCTATGGAAGCAGACTTCCACATCTTTTTCCGGTGGAGCAGTTGGTGAATTTGTACAACCAACCTTTCAGTTAGCAGCCAAGTGCTCAGTCACTGTGCCACCAGGGCTCCTTCCTGTAAGATTACAGCCATTAAAACCCTACAGTGCCTAGTGCAACTCTGAAACGTATGGGGTTGCCATAAGGCCATTAGTTGGAGTCAACTCCATGGTAAAGCCTTCTGCCTCCTACCATCACCCCCACCCCCCCGAGTTACCACTGACAGGACTTGGGCAAAGAATGGGGGAAATAAGAAGCTGGGGGTGGGACAACTAATTTGTGTTGCCATTTACAGGGACTCGAAAGACAACATTTTACACAATATTCTGTGGGATGTGGAGAAGGGAGAGAACAGGTATAAAATAATCTTAGGAAAGCACACCTCAGCCTTCCGGATCTGCAGATGTTAGGCAGACTTACAGGAGCCAGGACAAGGTGTCCAGCTCTTGTCCAGATGTACCCACTTCTTCCCCGAAGCAGTTACTTTTTATCTAACACAACCTTGGGCAAGTTCTTTAACTTCTTTGTGCCTCATTTTTATCTTCTGAAGACTAGGATAATAAATAATAGACTTTACCTCATAGGGTTTGATTATATGCAGAGGGCTTGGCCCACTATCAGACATGTGGTGACTAGTCAATAAATGACAAAATTATCACTGAAATTCATTTATCTCTATATTATTCCTCTATTTACTTCTGTTAGATCATTATTAGAAGCACAGAACAGAATCTCTGCTTGTCTTTTTCACCCCTACTACTTGAGGCAGCTCTTGGAACAGGGATGCCTCACAGTAGGTGTTGAATGGATGAATAAGGAAACTCATTGTTCCTTTTCTCCCTCCCCCCCTTTCTTTCTTTCCTCCCTTCTATCAACCATTTTCTACCCATCTATCCTTCTATCTGTCCATATTTCCATCCTTCCATCCATCCATCCATTCATCTCTCATCTGTTCATCCATCCATTCATCCATCATCCATCCACCTCAGAAAGGCTTAGAAAGGGCTTAGTAGTGACATAGCTCACAGTTTTTACAATCACAGTTGTGTGACCCTGGAAAACTTAATCTCCCTGAAACTCCATCTTCTCACCTGTGAAATGGCTGTCATGAAAGTACTTAGCTCATAGGGGTGTTGTAAGATTTAAATGAGATAATATATGCAAGGTATTCAGCCCAGTGCCTGGAACACAGAACAAAAAATAATCTAATCGAACCCGTTGCCATTGAGTCAATTCCAATTCATAGCCACCCTATTGGATAGAGTAGAACTGCCCTATAGGATTTCCAAGGATGTGAATGGAAGCAGACTGCCACATTTTTTCTCTTGCAAAATAGCTGGTGGTTTCAAACAGCTAATTTTGGGTTAGCAGCCGAGCATTTTAACCATTGTGCCACCAGGTCTTCTTGGTACATAGAAAGTGCTCAATACATATTACACATAATGGATATTTTAATAACTAGACACTGGCATTATGCATAGCACTTGTCTGGATTGTCATAAGCCCTTTACATATATTAACTCATTTAAACCTCACAATTCTGTGACATTAGTGAGGTCACTTTGGTACCCATTTCACAGATGATAAAAATAAGGTGCCGGGTGGTTAAAAGTAACATGCTCAAAGTCACATTGCTAGTTTACATTTCTACTTCATGGCAGAGCTGGGATTTAAACCCAGGCAGCTTGTTTCCAAAGTCCACATGCTTTACCACTGTGCCACACTGCCGTTTGCTAGCCCTCCTGATGCCTCTCCTCTACCAGTGACCTGGTCATCTCTATACCCTGTCTTGGATCAGGCTGGCCTGGTGAATGGAGGTGTGTGGGCCTCCTAGGAGGAAGTACCATGGGAGTTCAGAAAAGAAGTAAGGGTGATGTTGCTGTTAGTTAATGTGCAGTCTCAGCTCGCTGACACCCTCCTCATGCCACCTGTGCTCTTCTCCTTTGGGCAGTGGAGAGTGACCAAGGGGAGTTGGGAAGCTGGACCTTCCATCTTGCGCTGTGCAAGCCTGGGACTGCACTCCCCAGGTGACACAGCCAAGCCGTCACCTTTTCTCCTTGTTGGCAGAAAGCTCAGCTATCCTTAACACCCCCCTCCCCTTGCCCTGCCCTGTTGCGATTAAAAAAAAAAAACACCTTTCCTCTTTTGGGCCTCAAAGCCACCTCCCACCTTTATTGCTTTCTCAGCACCCTTCAAGAGCTTCTGTAGCCCTTTAAAAGTGCAGAACGTGTCATGGAATCAGTGGCCCTTGTCCTGGAGATAAGAGTGGCCAGAACAGCAGGTGCAGGCTTCCCAGGCATCCAGACAGGAGCCCAGTCCTGTTCCAGCTCAGCCCTGATGTCTGCAGAGGTGAGCCCACGCTGGCGTCTTCTCCTGCCTGGAACCCCAAGGGATGCTGACAGTTCATTCCAGGTGGAAGGACTGGGGGCTTCTGTCTGGGCTCTCCTCCCACCTGTGCCCACTCTCTCTCCTTCTGCAGGCAGCTGCATCCGCGCGTGACCCTGAATTTGGCAGTGGCAGGGTGAAGGAGCAGAATATGAGTGGCCGGTGGCGTGTGCCCTGGTATGAGCGGTTCGTGCAGCCCTGTCTGGTCGAGCTGCTAGGCTCTACCCTCTTCATATTCATTGGGTGCCTTTCAGTTATCCAGAATGGGCCGGACACTGGGCTGCTGCAGCCGGCCCTGGCCCATGGGCTGGCCTTGGGCCTCATCATCGCCACATTGGGGAACATCAGGTGAGAGGAGCACCCAGCACTCAGCCTGATGGTAATTCTGGGAGCTGGGTGTGGGCATTGCTGCTGGCAGGGACCCCTGGGAACACCGTCAGGATTCCAAGAGACACTAAGGATTACAGCATGGAATGAGGAGTCAGGCTGCTGAGGCTCAAACTTCATTCGGCAGCCTGTGAGCTCTGTGCCTTTAGGTAAGTAGGTCTCCAAACCCAAAGCAGCCCACCCAGAAAATGGAAATAACAGAGTATTTTTAAAATTATTTTCCTTTTCAATCCAACACATATACAATGCTAACTACATGCCAGGCATTATTCAAAGCACCTTACAGATATTAACTCATTTATTCTTCACAACAATCCCATGGAGTAGGTACTATGATTATTCCCATTTTCCAGCTGTGGAAGAGCAAGACCATGGAATTTATCCAAGGTTGCATGGCTAGTTAGCGGCAGAGATGAGTCAAGCCCTAGCTGAGTGGCTCCAGTGCCTGCCCCCGTGTGCCTCATGGGGAAAGCATGTGAATTAAGGAAGGTTAAGAGCTTGGCACATATTAGGTGCTCAATCAATACGGTTTTTCGTGAGACTGTGTTTCTTAGAAAGGGGATTTCAATCCAGTCTAGATACTTTCTGTGGGGATGCAGATACTTGCAGAAGAACGGACTGAGGGGTTTCCCACTTGGGTGCACACAGCTGCAGTCTCACAACCTGTCAAAGGGTCAGCAGAGGGGAGAGGCCAGGAGACAGAAGGGCTTCTCTTGTCTTTTCTGCTAGTGCAGACGGGAGCTCAGTGGGGAGTCCAGCGGGGTCCCAGGAGAACCACCATAATGATCAATATCATCGTGACATGGTTGGTGTGTACTCAGTCCCATTCAGAAAATATAACTGAAGAAGGAAATCGAAATACTGGTTTTTAGAAAACCAGAAGAGAAAGATGGAGAAATTTACATTTCTCTTTAAATGTCCAGGGGAGGCTGCAGGTGGAATAAAAGCACATGGTCTTTGGCTCACACAGGTCCAGGGTAGAATGCAACTTTTGTCACTTAGCTGGGTGATCAGAGCCAGTGGCTGAACCTCTCTGTGTACCATGGTGTAAATGTGGGTGATAATAGCTTATGGAATAGTAATAATTTATCAAGTACTGACAAGATGCTAGGCTCAGTGGCAGAGGTGGGATTTGAACCTAGGCTAGCTGGCTGGAGAGACCATCTTTTATGCACTGCAGTCCAATGCCTCTCTGTAATATCAACCTTTTATTCAACCATCTGCTCTCTTAATGAATATTTATTGAGCACCTGCAAGGTTGTTGAGGGGATCCAAAACAAGGTACATAAAGCACCCAGCACACTGCCTGGTATACAGAAGGTGTTGAATAAATATTTGTTGAGTGAATATGAATGAATGAACTATGAAAGTGTCTTGATTGTTGCTATTAATGAGTGTGAAGGAAGTTAGTCTAGGGAATATGTGTGGCCACTCCTTGAAAGGAAGGTTGGGCAATCTATTTCCATAGTGATACAGCCTCTGTAACCCAAGGAGGGGTCGCTATGAGTTGGATCCAACTCAACGGCAGTGAGGGGCAGATAGTCCAGCCTTCTCCTGGTTAAGCCATACTCTGAGTGACAACAGTTTTTTTTTCTCCACTTGGGCAGGGAGGATGGTGGAGGAGAGTCCAATGGTCCGAGAGAGTTCTAACTATGCAGTGCCCTGGAGAGGTCATTGTCTCCTCTCCTCACTTCATCTCCATTCTATGGCAGAGCCAGGCTAAGCTTAATCATGGAATTGAATTGAGACCAGTTGACCTCTTTTCCTGGCCAACCCCCTTGCCACAACTTATTGAGCTGAGGCATCAGCTGGTGCTTGCAAACAATTCATGAGTCTCACCTAAGGGCCTAGGCATTAAGGTGGCCCAATAAGTTGGAGAAAGCTGGTCCTGGGTCATCAGGGTGCTTGGGCAAAGTGTAAGTCCTCCTTTCATCCAGAGATAAGGTCCTCTATGCAGTCTCAGCACAAGGCCCTATGTACACTGGAGGTGGGCAGGCCCATTGGTGAGCTCTTCATATTTGAGGAGAAATTGGACTCTTTTATGATGTGGGAGGCTTTGAGGTTACTTTCTTTCTTTCTTTTTTTTTTTTGAGAAGTCCCTGGGTGATGCAATAGTTATGTGCTCGGAAGAATGCAATCTACTTCCAAAGTGAAATATAAGCCATTGAAAACCCTGTGGAGTACAGTTCTACTCTCACACATGTGGGGTTGCCATGAGTCAGAATCAAATCAATGGCAACTTTTTTTTTTTTTTTTAATTCCTGATGGACCAGAGGGATTTGGTGGACTAACCTCTGAGGATAGTTCCTCCATCAAAATGTGACTCAATAAGATATTGGGGAGTAACATAGACTTACGGGTCCCTGGCTCTAGGATCTGGGCTGGTGAGCATCTTGGTGGAAAGGAAGGTTCTTTACCCATAAGTAATCAAGGCCAGCTCACTTGGCTTTTGGTCCCCAAATTCTGACATTGTCTAATCAAGCCACATCCCAAACTCCAGATCCAAATCCCTCCCCTTATCATGAACTTCTGATCTCACACCTGAATCTCAATCCCATTTCCATCCTGAACCACTAATCCCTCCTTTAACTTAATCCTAATCTCACTTTCAGCCTCAGGTAAAATAGGGGTTTTATTTGCTGAACAATTCAATCAATCAGTAGCTCTTGTTTAGGGCTGGTTATGTTTTTTTTTTTTTTTTAAACTGGGTTTAGTTACTTTTAAGGAGCTCTAGTGACACAGTGCCTAAGGCATTTGACTGCTAACCAGAAGGTTGGCGGTTCAAATCCACCAGCCACTCCACTGAAGGAAGATGAGGCAATTGCTATGAGTCAGAATTGACTCAATGGCAGTGGGTTTATTTTTTTGGTTCAGTTACTTTTAAGGGGAGGCAGAATACCTCTCTTGGGCTACTAATTGGGAGCCTGGGGTTTCAGTCTGGCCCATCTTTCATTCTATGGCCACATCTCTGAAGGGATGGAGGGAGCTCTGAGTGAGTTTGCAGGGAGTTAAGGGATGGTCTTCCTACATGGTCTAGGGCTATCCTGAGGTCTGGGCTTAGGGCAGGAAAGAAGTTGCTCTTCTTTCCCTGGCTCTCCCCCATGACCCTCATCCCACTTCTGACACCTCAGGAAAATGAAAGTGATGTCTTTTGTTGGGCTGGGACTCTTGACTGGCTCTGGCACTGCAAAGACAGCCTGGGGGGGGTGGCAAATTCCCTTGGGTAACAGCCCTGGTGTCAGCCCTAGACCTTGGCCTCATGAATTCTTTCTGCTCTTGCTGTTTCCAGCGGAGGGCACTTTAACCCTGCCGTGTCCCTGGCAGCTATGCTGATTGGAGGTCTCAACCTGATGATGCTCCTTCCCTACTGGATCTCCCAGCTGTGTGGGGGGCTGATTGGAGCTGCCTTGGCCAAGGTGGGTGACCCTAACAGGGCTAAGATGGTGACTCCAGCTCTGACTAGGCTGCTGGAGGGGTGTGTTTGAGGAGAGGCATGGGGAACAGTCTTACTCTTTGCATTTTCCTCCCATGGAGCAAATCCATTCGCTGCTGAGGAGGGGGACACTCAAAGGGCCTGTGTATCTTGACATAGCTCTTCTGTGGACAGACCAAGAAGCCAAATACATACAGGGCATAAGTTTTATCTTCCTGACTCCAATTCTTAGGTTGCAGTGCATTTAGACAGTTGTAGTATTTTTTCATTCATTCACTCTACAAATACCTCACTGAGTGAAAATACAGGATGAATATGGTTATTCTCCTTAAGAAACACCTGCACTAACATGAATGAACCTGGAGGACATTATGCTGAGTGAAATAAGTCAATCACAGAAGGACAAATACTGTATTAGTCCACTAAAATCAAGGAAAGGCTTATATATGGAAGGAAACTTTCTCTGTTGGTTACTAAGGCTGGGAAGGGAGAGGAGAAAATTGCTGGATATGTTATATACATATACCAAAGATTATTAGTGATTACCAGAGGTGGGAGGAAGGGGAAAGCTTTTGTTTGTGGGGCACTGAATTTATGCTAATGGTGGTGGAATATGTAGCAATAATGATGGCACAACATTTTTTCATGTCATCAGTGACCCTGAGCTGTAAATGTGGAAGTTGCTATATTGGTGAATGTCTGGGTGTGTAAGTTTTCACCACAATAAAATAAAAAATAAAAAAAAGAGAAACTCCTGCACTAACTTCCCTAGCTAGGTGTTCTCCAGTTTGCTCATCTTTAAACTGAATCATTCTGCCAGTGATGTTGTTGTTGCTGTTACATACTGTCGAGTTGGTTCCAGCTCATAGTGACCCTAACTACAACAAAGTGAGAACACTGCCCAGTCTTAGGCTATGCTCACAATCGTTACTATGCTTGAGCCCATTGTTACAGCCACTCTGTCAATCCATCTTATTGAGGGTCTTAACCTTTTTCACTGACCCTCTACTTTACCAAGGATGATACACTTTTCCAGGGAACGGTCCCTGAAAAAGTACATCAGAAGAAGTCTGACCATTTTTATCTCTAAGGAGAATTCCAGCTGTGCAGATTCCTACGTTCTTCTGACAGCCCATGGTACATTCGGTATTCTTTGCCAACACCACAATTCAAAGACTCCAATTCTTCTTTCGTTTTCCTTATTCATTGTCCAGCTCTCACATGCATATGAGGCAATTGAAAATACCATGGCTTGATCAGGTGCACCTTAACTTGCAAAGTAACATCTTTGTCCTTTGCACTTTAAAGAAGTCCTTGCAGAAGATTTGCCTGATCAGAGTCAATATTCCATGTCAGTTTGGAGTCCTCACATCCCAACAGGAAGGCTAGCCCCAGAATTTTTATATTTCTACACATAAGGCCTAAAAAGCCCTGGTGGCCAGAGCCAGTCAAGGGTTGCAGCTCAAAGAAAGACAGGCTTTCTTTACACAGCAGTTAAGAACTTGGCTCTTCAGGAGAAAGACTCATAAACATTACAGCTGTGTCACATGAGGTCCCTGTGGGTTTTGGAGTTGACAGTGCACTCAACAAGAACAACAATAACATAACCCCATGAATCCTGGACCCTCAGATCCATTCCTCTCTTGTCCATCACCCAGCTTGGCTGGATCTGCCCCTATAAAGACCTGGAAGCAAGTCTTCACTGTCCTCTTCCTCAAAATGTGGCCCAGGGACCAGCAGCATCCGCATTCTCCAGGAGCTGGTTAGAAATGCAGGATTCCAGGCTCCACTGCAGATCTGCTGAGCCAGAGTCTTCACTGTAACATAGCACCCGGGTAATTTGTGTGCAAGTTAGTTTGAGACATGTGCGTGGGGTAATAGCTCTCTTTGTTGTTGTTTGCCTGGGGTTCAGGAGAACATGTCTAGGTTTCTTGGCCCCCTTCTTCTCTCCTACCTCGTTTTTTTTTGAGTGCCTTCTAACCTGAGGAGCTCCTCTTCTGACACCTTATCAAACAATATTCCATAGTTTTCCACTAATACATCAGAAAGTGTCTCTCTGCTGTTCATAACATTTTCAGTGGCCAAGTTTTTGAGAAGTGTTTGGTCCCATATTTTTTCCATTTGGTCCTAGTCTTTTTTTTTTTTTTTTTGAATTTTGTTGTGCTTCAGGTGCAAGTTTACAGAGCAGTGTTTGTTTTACATTCAACATTATGTGTACATTTAGTTTCACTCACCATTTATCATGCCCAACCCTAACTCAGTCTCCTCCCCTCCCTGCCCAGTAACCGCCCCCCTCATGCCCCTCATAGTTATGCACCCCTGTGTGTCCTGCATTTCCTCCAAACGAATGTTGCCCCTTTGGTGTCCCATGGTCTATTGTTCTAAGGGATGCATCTGCATAGAGTATGTGGGTGCATCACCCTGGGTTGAGTGGTCTGCATGTACATCTTGTTTACTATTAGGCTGAGAGCCAGCTCTTGAGAGTGAGTTTTATTCCAGGCCCAGAATGTATCCTAGGACCATAGTATTGGGGATCTCACCAGATTTATTCTGACCAGTAATTCTGGTCATTATTGAGTTTTTGGATTTTGTTTTTTATGTTTTTCTTCCCACTCTATCCAGGATCTCCAGATTTGATCCTTTCCTGAGTGGTTGGTATTGGTAGCTGGGCACCATCTAGTTCTTCTGGTCTCGAGGGCCAATGTGTCCTAGGGCTGATTGCTTCCAAATGCCCTTGGATTTTTATTTTGCACCTCCCTACTTTTTCATTTTTATCTTAACATTTTCTTGTGACTTGGTGAAAGTTCACAGAGCAAATTTGTTTCCATTCAACAGTTCATACTTATTTTGTTTCATGACATTGATTTCAATCCCCATCATATAATAGCACTCTTCCCACTTCCTCCCTGTGGTTACCATTTCCCTTTGTCCTTCTTGCCTATCCCTTCCCGCTTTCTGAGCTTTATCCCTGGGCAAATGTTGCCCTTTTGATCTCTTATGGTTGGTTGTTCTAAGGAGTGTTTACTTCCCTGCTGTTATTGTTCACCTGTCTATTGTTTGGCTCAAAGTTGAGCCATAGGGGTGAGTTCAGTTCCAGGCTTCTAGAGTGACTAGGGCCATAGTCTCAGGGGTTCCATAAGTCTCTATCAGACCAATAAGCCTGGTCTTTTTTATGATTTTGAGTTTTGTTCCATATTTTTCTCCCACTTTATCCAGGATCTCCTATTGTAATCCTTTTCAGAGTGGTTGGCAGTGGTAGGAGGACACCATCTTGTTCTTCTGGTCTCAAAAGGCTGAGGTTCATGTAGTCCACTAATTCCTTGGACTAATTGTTTCCATGTGTCTTTGATTTGCTTCACTCTTCTTTCCTCTGGATGAGGAGAGACCAATAGCTGCATCTTAGATTGCAAGCTTTTAAGACCAGTTACTACTTGCAACAGTAGGATGTAGAACACTGTCTTTGAGGAGTGTTATGCCTATTGGCCTTGATGTCCTCTTCTACTATGGTCCTGAGCCCACAGGCCCAGCAACTCATTCAATGTGTTAGGTTATGGTTAAGAAGTTTTCAGAACTTCATCTTCTGTTAGCTCTACTATGCACATGGATATTTTTACAGCACATATAAACGCATGTGTAGAAGTATCATCTACCAAACCTGTATACCCAAACCTGGTAGTGTGTATAGTCCTATTCATCTACCCGGCCCTGATCATCTTGCCTGTCTACTTATGTATCCATTTGGAGATTAATGTTCATTATTACTGATAATGCAGGATTGTGTATGTAATTGTGCTGTCTTTTTTGTCTGTAACTCGTGTGCACCTCTCAGTGTCTTCCCTTTCCTTAGTGATATTATAGTGGTCACCCACTTTTTGTATATTGCCTTTCTCTTTGCCCTAATTAATTTGTGTCTCTTATCTAGTTAATAATTTTCCCTTTCCTCCCCTCCCATCCCTGGTAACCAGCAAAGAATATCTTCCTGTGTGCAAAACTTTCATTAACTTTTTTTAATAATAGTGGACTTTTATAGTATTTGTCCTTTTGTGATTGACTTATTTCACTCAGCATAATGTCTTCCAAGTTCATCCACACTATGAAGTGTTTTGAGAATTCTATGCAACATTAAAGAATAATGAAGAATCTCCTCCTTCCTTTGACTAAGCCCATGGTCAGGTCTCCAACCAGCCTAATCTTCAAATGCTGTCCTGGCTTCCCCTAGTCTCCGCTCGCCTTCTCTCTCACACACACACTCTCTCTCTCCCTTTTCTCCTTTCTCCTTCCCTTCCTTCCTTCCCTCCTTTCTTGCCTTTTCCCCTGAACTTTCAGTTCAGCTAGGGGCTTGGTGGTGGTGATGTGTGTAGCGGGGTAGTGGGGTGTGTGGAGGTGAATGAGGGAGCCCCATCAGCCTGACTGGGGTTTGGTCTGTAGCTGTAAGAGCTGGCCTGTTGCAAACTTTAGTCTCAAATCCCATCTCACTGCCCAGGTCTCTCCATGCCTTCCTTTCCGACTTGCAGCCTGGTCCCTGTCTGGAGAATGGGGATCGTACCTTCCCACTCTGATTCTCTATGGAAAAGACTCCCACCCAAGCCTTGCCACTTGCAAACATGTCAAACATGATGTGAAAGGGACAGAGCAGCAGCTACTGTTCACTGAGTGCACCCCTTGGCTCAGACATTCACATTCATTCTCTCATTTACTCTCCCAACAACTGCAGTCCCCAGAGAGCACTCACCATGGGCCAGGTCCCCAAAGCCTTTAGATGTTGTTGTTGTTGTTATGTGCCGTCGAGTCAGCCCTGACTCATAGAGACCCCTCCTTGGGTTTCCAAGGCAGTATCACTACGGAAGTAGGATTGCCCAACCTTCCTTCCGAGGAGTGGCTGGTGGGTTTGAACCGCCAGCCGTCTGGTTAGCAGGCAAGTGTCTTAGCCACTATGCTACCAGAGCTCCCAAAGCCTTTAGATATGAGTCAGGAATTATTGTTAGCATCCCCATTTTCCAGATGAGGAAATGGAACATAGGGAAATGAGTAACTTGCCCAAGTTCCGATGAGTTGGTCGGCAGCAGAGCTGAGACGTGTGTCCAGGGTCCAACGCTTGTCTGCTCTTAGCCTTCTCTCTCTAGAGTCTGTGCTGATCCCTGAGGCCCATTTCCTGTGAAGCTAACTGACCTGGACCCTGTCAGTGTCTCACAATGTGTTTACTTTGTCATTTGTGTTGGTAGAGTTTACAAAAGTGAAGATATGTTTCTTTCCCATGGGGTCTTTCTTTCTTTTGCCAATTCAAGAATTCCTACAGGTATAATTTAGTGACGTTGATTACGTTCTTCATGTTGGGCCACCAAATCCTTTTTCAAATTATTTCACCACCATGAACATAAACTCAGTGCAAAAGTAAGATATATTGTTTTTCTGAAAGAGGACCATTTGAATTACATAAGCTTCAGGCTCGTTCTGAACTATGCCTAATCTTCAGATGAGTAAAGTGAGGTTCACACAATCCCACAGTAAAAAGTGACTGAACTGGAGTAGGAACCCGGATCTGTCCGACTGCACAGTGCGATCCACTGGTGTATGACTACAACCCTCCACTGATTCTAAAGGTGGGCCCTTAGGCCTCCTGCCCTGAGCTCCCAGCTGTCTCTCTGCACTCATGATGAGGCTGCTTCCCTCCTCAGGCAGTGAGCTCCGAGGAGAGGTTCTGGAATGCATCAGGGGCGGCCTTTGTGACAGTCCAGGAGCCTGGTCAGGTGGTAGGGGCAGTGGTGGCAGAGGTCATCTTGACAACACTGCTGGCTCTGGCCGTATGCATGGGCGCCATCAACAAGAAGACCCAGGGCCCCCTGGCCCCCTTCTCCATTGGCTTCTCCGTCACCGTGGATATCCTGGCTGGGTGAGTTCCCCTTTGCTGTGGGATTGTAAGAGGGCTCCATTGGAGAAGACTCAGAGCTCAGGCCAAATGTCCATTCTGGAGGATGCCAGGCCTGCAGATCCTACCTGAGGATCACACACTCATTTGCCAACAGGGGCTGGGAACACAATGCAAATGGGGGAAGTGGACTGGCATTGGTCAGCAACAGGGAGTGGTGGCGACTGCAGTATCTGAGGAGGCCACCACTGCTCAGCTCTAATAAATTATTGATGGTTGAAAATGTGGGCCTGTTCAGTCAGCTGGTGGGCAGCCAGGCTTACAAATAACACCATACCCCTCGTTTCATTGAATTTTCAACCCCTCAGCAGGCATGGGAAAGGGTTAAAGAGGCAAGGTTTGATCAGGAATTATTTTTCCATTTGTTGCATGATGAACTGAGGCTCAGCTAGGACAGAAGTGGTACATTTAAGGTCATTGGACAGTGGAAAATTACATGACAGATCTGTGACTCTTGTGAGGTGAGGGAACCACTTTCTGATATCCAACTCCTTCCATTCCTTTGGACACAGAATCAAGTCCATCCCTCCTCCTTGGCAGACCTACCATCATCTCGGGAGGTGGAATCTAGGGAGGACTGGCCAATGTGTTTATAAAGCTGCAGCAATGTTTTGCTGCCCTCTAGTGGTATTTGGTTCATACAAGCCTATTGAATCTTACCCTTTTGACTTTGGCCACTCCTCGGAAGGAAGGTTGGGCAATCCTACTTCCGTAGTGATACTGCCTCGGAAACCCAAGGAGGGGTCGCTATGAGTCGGGCTGACTCGACGGCACATAACAACAACAACAACAACTGAGCATGGATGGGATGGGGTGAAATCTGTGGGACCCAACTTGAGTGAGTGGGGCAAGAATACAGGCACCAGAACTAGAAAGGTGCATCTGGGGAAGAGTCCCCTTATAGCAGGCATGGGGCCCCAAATCTGGTGCATTAAAGCCCTAGTCTGAGTCAGCCACATTATGAACTCAACTAAAAACTCACTGCCCTCGAGTTGGATCTGACTCTTAGCGACCCCTCCTTGGGTTTCCGAGGCAGCATCACTACAGAAGTAGATTGCCCACTCTTCCTTCTGAGGAGTGGCTTTTGAGTTTGAACCGCCAGCCACATTATAGTTAACAGTTACTGTACGTGACTTGTATGTGATACATGCAGCTATACATGAATTGTCTCACTACTGACAACAACCTGTGATAGAGGCACTTTCAGCCTATGAAGAGACAGAAGTCCATGGAGGTTAAATGCAGGTCACACAGCTAGAAATAGCTGTGCAGGATTTTGAATCCAGAGTGACTCCAAAAGTCACATAGTTGACTTTGCTTTGTAGATTTTAGAGAGGACCTAGTTCCATCTTCTCTTCCTGACATCACCAAACAGGCATCCCTTACTGGTCATTTTGCTAGAAGGGCGTGTGAGGAGTGGTAGGCTGTATGCTCAAGGAGAGGTCAAACCTCTCACTTCCTAGAGCTAATAACTTTTTTACTTATGTTTTCTTTAGGATACACCCTGGAGCCCATAATATGTTAGCTCAGAATGGTTTCTGAATGGTGTGTGACCCACGCCTAGATGAGAAAATGAACTCAAAATGAATTAGGGCCCGGCTGGGACCTTACTGATCAGTGTGACTGGGCATTTGCAGGGGTGCTGTGTCTGGAGCCTGCATGAACCCGGCTCGTGCCTTTGGACCTGCTGTAATGGCCAACCACTGGAACTTCCACTGGATCTACTGGCTAGGCCCACTACTGGCCAGCTTGCTTGTTGGAGTGCTCATCAGGTAACAGAGAGCCCAGGGCTGGAGAGCTGGGCTCTCACATGGGTTTAGAGAAAGGAAGAGAAAGCCTTCTTCAAAGGTAAAGAATATAGCTGTCTCTAGGCCCGTTGTCGGGAGCTCTGGTAGCGTAGTGCCTAAGGCACTTGACTGCTAACCAGAAGGTTGGTGGTTCAAACCCACCAGTCACTCCTCGGAAGGAAGATGGTGCAATCTACTTCCATAGTGATACTGCCTCGGAAACCCAAGGAGGGGTCGCTATGAGTTGGTTCCGATTTGATGGCACATAACAACAACAACAACAGGCTCATTGTCTGCAAGTAACTGAAACCCAACTCAAGACAGTTTAGGTCATGAAGTAGAATTGGTTGGTTCACCTAACTGGAACGTTTGCAGGTAGGAGCTCAAACCATGTCCTCAGGCCTTGATCTGTTTTCCTCTGCTTGGGCTTCATGTTCAATCAGACTTTCTAATAGAGACAAATGTGTTCACCAGCTACCCTATGCTAATATCATTGCAGCTTAGCAACTCCAGAGGAAATAGAGCAAATTCCTCTGTTTGATTTCTGGCAAAAGTTCTGGGGGTGATGTGCACTGGTTTGGGTTGGCAGAGCTTGGGCAGAAATATTAATTTCTGAATCAATCAATGTGGCCATGGGGTTAAGGCACCCTTATTGGCTAGGTCTGAAGCATAAGCCTACTGGGGGTGAGGCCAGCTTTACCTGAACAACTGTTTAGAGAGTGAGGGGATTAGTTCTCCATAGGGGTGTTGTACAACCCCAGGGGTTCCCATCGGCACAAGAAAACTAGGTGAATGGAGCCCCAAAGCAAGCGTATCAGGGGATGCCCTTTACTTAAAATACAATGTAAGCAGTGCTCCCCAGCGTTGTGCAGCAGATCATGAACATAGCATCGCCAGAAGGATAACTGAAGTCCAGGTGGAAAAAATGACAGAGGCCCTTCCACCCTCCTTGACTGCTCATCCTTGGCTGTCTTCTTGTGAGCCTTAGGATCCTCAGTGTCCTGTTTTTTCTGCTCCAGGTGGTTCCGGAGATTAGTGTCTGGATTTGGTACAGATTAGGCTGTCTCTGAGCTCTGGTAGCATAGTGCCTAAGGCACTTGACTGCTAACCAGAAGGCTGGCGGTTCAAACCCATCAGCTACTCCTTGGAAGGGAGATTGGAACAATCTACTTCTGTAGAGATACTGCCTCAGAAACCCAAGGAGGGGTCGCTATGAGTCGGGTCTGACTCGACGGCAAACAACAACAACGGCAACAACAATAAGGCTTGTCTCCCACTGTCTGGGAGAAGGCAGGCACTGGGCTGGGCTCATCTAGCCTGCTCGTGCCATTGTCCAGCTATAGTTCCAGGATCCTTCATGGCCTAACTTGTGGCTTGGTGAAAAGCATCGATAATAATCCTCCATCTGTAGCTTTCAAGATGGCAGAGAGAAGCATCTTCAGCAGAAGACTGGGAAACCAAACAAGAAACACTTTTTCTCACTCCCTAAGGGGATCTGGCTTTTAAGGTTGGAAAGGTTCAGGAAGGCGTCTCTCTGGAAAGTTGTGGGACTGGAAATATTTGGTGAAGTTCTAGGTCTCTCCACCAGCATCTCAGACCCTTTACTGGGCTATATTTCTTATAGGTTCTTCATTGGAGATGGGAAAACCCGCCTAATCCTAAAGGGCCGGTGAAGCTGAGAAGGTGGAGTCCCTGCGGCCCCAGGTGTCCTCAGGTGAACCATCCTGGGCTGCAGGCAGGACAGCTCCTGTGATTCCTACCAGGGGAGAACCTAGAGGAGCGACTGAGCTGCTTTCCCTGACTGGGCCTGGCTGCTTGGATAGACAGACTGCTGCTATGTCCCAAGGATACTCTAATCCCTGCTCCTCTCCCCCAAAAAAACCCACTGTCATGGAGTCAATTCCAACTCAGCTATCCCCATTGGGTTTATAAAGCTATATATCTTTATAGAAGTAGACTGCTTCGTCTTCTTCCCACAGAGCAGCTGGTGGGTTTGAACCACTGACCTTCTGTTTAGCAGCCAAATGCCTTAGCCACTATGCCACCAGAGCTCCTTAGTTTCTTTGAATCCTTACCTGTTCATCAGAGACACCAGTCTGGGGAATGTGTTGTCAGCACTGCCCTGAGAGGCATGGAAAACAGGTCAACAGAAGAGTTTCTCCTCACAGGGAAGGTCCCAGGAGTGGGCTCAGCACATTCTCCCTGCTCCCTTTCTTTCTCCTCATTTGCTCTTTGATTCCTCTCTGCAGAAGGCCTTCCGTGGTATGAGTTCTTCCTTGCTTCCTGATCTGTCAACCAAGCTTTGCAATAAATAGTCTAGTATTTCTCCCACATGCCCACTGGCTTTCATTTCAGAAAAGGGCACTGCCAGGGAGGACCCAAACATCTATGGCTGGGCCTTCACTGTCCAGACTCTGGGTGAGGTAGGAGCCCAACCTAGAGCCCAGAGCCAAAGTACGTACCCAGAGAGAAGTACAGTCCAGAGTCCATCTACCATTCGCTAGCTCTGGAGCTCAGAGCCCAGTTTAGTATCCAGTTTTGATCCCAGAGTTAATTCCAGACCACTGATGTCAGGGCCCTTCTTAAAGTCCAACCCAGGTGTAGTGCCTGGTTCCATGCCCAGTACCATCTAGAACATGGGTCAGCCCATTCCAGTCCAGCCAAACATCACACTGATGCTGGGGATAGGTGAGTATGAGGGTAGGGCAGAGCTTCAAGGATTTCCCAAGGGGATAGACTCCTGAGAAAAGGACATAATACAGGCCTGGAGTGATATTGGCATGTGGATGGATAATGTGAGTATAATGAATAAGAAAAATAAAATGGCATATTCTAAAACTTCACACCCTACAAGTAGAGTGTGTATCTTCTCTGTAAGAACCTATGGGTCCTTGGTGGAGATGATTGTTATAATACTATAAAGAAGTATATGTCATGATTCTCAGTATTATGTAATTATCCTCCATTTTCTGATGTCATGTAATTATCCCATGTGTTGTAAATCCTAACTTCTATGATGTTAACGAAGCAGGATTAGAGACAGTTATGTTAATGAGGCAGGTTACAATCTACCTAATCAGGTTGTATCCTGAGTCAATCTCTTTTGAGCTATTAAAGAGATTGAACAAACCAGCAGAGATCAGAGGGACCTATGATCACCAAGAAATAACAGCTGGGAGTGGAACATACCCTTTGGACTTACACTGAGGACCTCCTAAAACCAGGAGACACAGAGAAAGAAAACCTTACCCTAGAGCTGGCACCCTGAATTTGGACTTCTATCTTCCTAAATGGAAATAAATCTCCATGTGCTAAAGTCATCCACTTGTAGTATTTCTTTTATAGTAACACCAGAAAACTAAGACATACCCAGAGCCTCCAGAGGGGCTGTGGATCTGCCGACACTACGATTTCAGACTTCTAGTCCCAGTACTGTAAGAGAGTAAATTTGGGTTGCATTAAGCCACCAAGTTTGTAGTAATTTGGTACAGCAGTCCTAGGAAACTAATAAAGGTAGATACTCTCATTATTCTCATGTTCAGAGGAGCAAATGGAAGTTCCAAGAGATCTAATTACCCAATGTCAGAGTTAGTGAATTGGTGGGGAAAATATTAGGCACATTTCATTGCAGGGTCTACACCCTTTATCATCATACTTTACCATTTCTGAAGAAAGTACAACATTATTTCTTGTGTTGTCTCCTATTTGCCTGTTGGACCCGCATTAAGAGGGAGACAGAATGACACGCATTGTAACTCTTCTCACCCTTTAACTTGCAACTCAATTTCAAATCCTCGGTCTTCATTTCAGTTTCTAGACTGAACTCTTAAGAGCAAGCACCATGTTAATTCATCTTTGTGACTCCACATAATGTTGGCTATAATAGTAGGGACTCAGTAAGTACTTGGTGAATGAATGAACGGCATAGACTGATCCCAATGACTCCCAAATTCATTCTGACCCTAGAGGTAGAATCCAAAGTTGACCTGGATCACCTGAATTGACCCCGCCCATCTCCCGTTTTTTCCAGTAACAAAGAAGTCATAAAATTTTAGGATGTTAGAGCTAGAAACTCTATCATAGCTCTAAAATTAGTGGCTACAAGTTTGCATTCTGTGAAATATCTGATTTTAAATTTCAGGATCATTACTTTTTTTTGCTGTATGAGCTTGAAGAAGCTATTTTACTCCTTTCAACCTTAGCTTCCTCATCAAAATGGAAATATTATTTCAGGATTTTTGTGAGGATTAAATGACATGTTTGTAAAGCCTTAGCACTGAGCTTACCATGTAGTAACAGCACAACCTATCAGTGTTTATATTTCTTACTGTTTTCATCTAATCAAAGGGCTTGAAATTTATGGTGTCGGTATCACGGCAAGGGGGTGGAGTTTTGGCAAGGAGTTTGTAAATGTAAGCAGTATGTATGTATTTACTCACTCAACTACCCTCAGAGCATTCTTAGGCTTCTAAAGAGAAAATGGTTTGGATCCACTCATCCTGTCCAACCCATCAAACCAAAGAGGCTAAATAATTTTATGATAAAGTGATCTAGTGACAGAGCTCAATTAGAATCTAGGATTTTGGACTCAACAGTTTAGTGCTCTTTCTACTGCAACAGGCATGCCTGCTCCTGACCCTCAGGGTACAAGTGCTAATTCATTTCTTCCTTTTGGCAGAAACGGTTTGGGTCCTCACATGCCATGCTGTTGGGAATACTAGTATTACACTCTCGCACCTCTCCCCATCAGATTGTCCAAGAATGCCGAGGATTTAAGAACTCTGAAGAGGAGGCGTGCCAGTCTTCTACTCCCGTATGGGGAAGAGTCATGTTCACTTTTTAGTTCGGGCTTCCCCCTGCTGTCATTCTCACCACATGGTGCTGCTGTTGAGAGCTGGTCTTCACAGATGGTACATGCTATTGCTAAGTCACACTTGCAGATTTCTGTCTAGTCCGTGGTGGTTTCTTGAAAGAGGGTATTTTTGTTACCTAATGCTACTCTGACAGGAGTATACCACAAATGGGATGCTTCAACAAACAGGAGTTTATTCTCTTACAGTTTGGAGGCTTTAAGTCTGAGCTCAAAGTGCCAGGCTGTAGGGACTGGGTGAAAGCCCCTCAACCTTGGGCTTCAGCTCTGCCTCCTGCTCCCAGCCCACTGAAGCTGGAGGCTTTTCTTCACTCAGACAGCTGCTGGCTGCTGAGTCTGACAAGCCCAAGGTTGACAAGTAAAAAGGCACAGTCCCGATGTTACCAAACCACATGGCAGGGCCATTAATTTAAGTCAATTGAAAGTCCCAAGGTCGGAAGAGCATGACAGACTGCTGAACAACGACTCGGCTACATGCAGGGTTCAAGCGTGCCATAAGCTAGAGACCATCCCCAAAGCTGCTTCTTATAAATGGGAAGAAGACCACATTCCTAAGGCAGCTACTCATAGTAGATTCCACCATGGAGTTGATTACCAGTCTCATCATGGGGACTACTACATTCAGCTGCCCAGCCACTCAACCAAGCCTAGCCAAGTTGACACACGAACTTTGCCACCACAGATGGCATGTTATAGACAGTTCTATTCCTTCCATGCCAAACGCAGCCGTATGCTCCACAAAGTCTATGCTCACGTTCCCAGTAAACTTGAAGGTCATGCTTTTTATTTTCAGGTCCCTTCTCCTTTCTGCCCCCAGGATAATTTTCCCTGAAGACCTTCTCCTCCAGAGTTCTACTGCTTCACAGGGGGTGTAGGCATTTGCCTCTCTTGGAACCCAACACCACTGTTTCTCCTGCAAGTCCCTGGGACCCATTATGCAGTTGGGGGGTTATGATCTTTCAGTACTTAAAACACAAAGGATTCACTCTCTTCAGTCTTGGAAAATAAAATCTAATTGCCTCAGTTGCTTTACAGGAATCGAGAATTGGCCCATAGAGATGTTTGTTTTCCTTTAGAGATTTAAAGTTTCTCATCCAACTCCCAGACCTAAGTTCACAGACTAAATGCCCATAAAGGAATGGGAGCTCATGTAACCTTGTGGGAGAGCCCTATTACAACACAGCACACTAGTATCATGAGCTTTCTCTATCTTTATCTTAGCTTTCTCCAAAAAGATTTGTGGACATTTACTCAAGGAAAGTATCGATCACCTTCAGGGACTCTTAGGTCCTGACTCCAGTTACAATTCTTGAGCACACTGAGTATTATTGAGGTCTGTTGAACAGAGGGAGGCTCATGAAGCTCCGATGACCAACACACTTTGCCTGGAACTCACCTCATACTTAGGTGCACTTGCTCTCTAGATACAGCGAGTGGTTCCTCCTACAGTCCTAGAGTACTGCTGGAAAACATGTCTTTAGCAAGTGGCAAAATATCTACCATGACTCTGTGACACATCCAGTGGGAAGTGTTAGGATAACAAGAGCTAAGTAGAAACCACTTGAACTCCCCCTTTCTACCAAAATAGTAAATCAAAAGCAACAGTGTACCCCCAGGGAAACAGCAGAGATTTGTTCCACTGTAAATGGCTATCCGTGGGGGCCTCAACCAGGAGTATATGCACTATGTGCACCCAAGGCTAACTCCACCTTAAGAATCACAGCCAACCATTACTTGGGGCAATGGCAGTGACAACAACCATCAGAGAACAAATGCACAGAAATAGCTGTGAACTTACAAAAAAATCCATGTTAGTCATGGGGGATGGCAGTGAATGGGAATGAGATTGAAATACTTTTCAATTAACTATCTGCATCAGTTTTTATTAATCCTATGGATAAATTTTCTTTTGCCTTAATAGAAAGACATCTTTAAATTATGGCAGACACCAGTGGGAGTCATTTATTCCAGATGTTTATTTCACATTCAAGTTTTCAAGAAGACATGTAGGTCAACATTAACACAAAACAAACGAGACATACATTTTTACTTGGTCTTGGAATGCATTCAGACAGAAGCAAAGGTTTATAGCTACAAAAGTTCCCCATACACTCCTTCCATTTGGGCTTCCCCAGCTTCCTCATGGTCGACTTTTGTCTGTCACTGGGCACCAGACCTCACAAAGTAAGCTTTCTTCACTGAAGCTACCTGCATTGGCTATTGAGGTGCCTTGGGGGCTTCCTGCTGTTGAACGTGTTTGTCCCTTCTGCTTACTGAGCAAACTCCTGGACTAACTTTGCTATCACAGCATCCTTCTTCCTAAAGTATGAGATTGGTTCAGTAAGGCCCAGATGCTGCATGGAAGGGTGAGCCAGGCCAGATAGTCTGGTCTTATAACCTCCTCCTCTACACCATGCATCCAAAACCTCATGGAATATTAGAGCCTGAGCAGTTTTTGCAATCAAGGTCAACTTACCTTCAGATGAGGAACTAAGGCCCAGAGAGGTGCTCTGATTTGTCAAACACCACACTCAGTAAGTAGCAGTGACAAGAACTTGTCTCTCTTGGCTTCTGGTCTAATGTTCATTTCACCATAGCAGGTTACCCTGAGTGGTTTTAAGTATATGTGTGTATTTTTTTGGGGGGGCAGTTAAAAACAAAACTAACGTTGCCTTTGGATGACTGAATTAGGTTTTAAGTGAAATAAAATCATCAGTAAGAACTGGAAGCATAGTGAGTGTTAACAAAACAAGCCTAGGCAGGAAATACCCACTTAGCTTCCAAAGTGCTTTGGGTAAGAAGTCAGGATGTGAAATGTCTATTTATTTATACCTCTTTTAAAAGATAGGATTTCAGGCAATTTCTAAGGAAATAAGATAAAATAAATAAAATTTTTAGGTAGTTGATTGAGGTGGATGTAAGTTTTGTTGCACTTTTCAGCAGCCAAGACAAGCAGAGAAAGGCAGTAAGTTACTTAGAAATAAAAAACCCACAGTGTTGGTAACTTTTTTTTTTTTTTAAAAAAGGAAATAAAGCTCTTTTTCCTGGTACTGAGACCTAGCGGACAAAAGAAAAACAATAAAAAAAATTTTCTTACGGATATGTGAGCTATCAAAGACAAAACAAAAGCACTAAAACCAAAACCAAACCTGTTGTTGCCAAAGCAATTCCAACTCATGGTAACTCCACATTTCAGAGTAGAATTGTGGTCCATAAGGTTTTCAGCAGCTATTCGGTCGTTATGAGTCAGAATCGACTCCAAGGCAGTAAGTTTAATCTCATGGAAGCACCTCTGGGTGGATTCAAACAGCCAGCCTTTTAGTTAGTCAAGCACAAATTGTCACCCAGGGACCTTATGGGATATAGAAGATGCATTAATCAGATAATATGATTATTCATTTTGACTGAAGGGAGACAAATAGCTTTGGTCTAAGAAGGTGGGTAGAGACAAAGTTCATTAAGTCAATTTAATACATGTCCAAACAACCCATTTACAATCAGGAATACAGATGTGGTGGTTGTTAGGTGCTGTCAAGTCAGTTTCAACTCATAGTGAACAAAACACTGCCTGGCCCTGCACCATCTTCACAATTTTTGTTGTGTGTGAGTTCATTGCTGCAGCTACCATATCAATCCATCTCATTGAAGGTCTTCCTCTTTCTCCCTTTCTACTTTATGAAGCATGATGTCCTTCTCCAGGGACTGGTGAAACCTGATAACTTGTTATGTCCGAAGTACATGAGACCAAGTCTTGCCATCCTCATTTAGCCTAAGGATCATTCTAGCTTTACTTCCAAGACAGATTTTTTCCATTCTTCTGCCAGTCCGTGGTATATTTAATATTCTTCACCAACACCATAATTTAAATGCTTCAATTGTTCTTCAGTTTTCCTTATTCATTGTACAGCTTTCGCATGCATATGAAGTGACTGAAAACACCATGGCTTGGGTCAAGTGCACCTTAGCCCTCAAGATGGTATCTTTGCTTTTTAACACTTTAAGGAAGGCTTTTGCAACAGATATGCCCAATGAAATATGCTGTTTGATTTATTGACTGCTGCTGTCATGGCCATTGACTGTGGATCCAAGTGAAATGAAACCCTTGACAACTTCAAGAAAAGCCAACAAATCTGGGAGACAGGAATACAGATAGGGAACCCAAATTCCATTTTAGCTTGATCCTAATCATATGAGAGTTAAACAGAATGTTCATTACATTGGAGATGGAATGGATCTAGAACTTTTCCTGTCATTGGGGAAGTTTCAGAGACAGGTACAAAATGCAACTGAAAGACTCTTTTGCAAGTGAAGGTGATTTTCACATGACTTGAATTAGTAACCTGTAATTGACATGCAAGTAATTGGCATTACCTTCTATTGCAATTACTTCTTTTAAAGAGTGTAAGTCCCTTGAGTACAGACACTACCTCCTCTTTTTCATTTCTGTACCACTGAATACATTGTGCCTAGAACATGGCCTTACACAGAATAGTGCTTAATAAGTATTTATGGAGAAGTACCTCATACTAGGTAAAGTAGAGAGTCAGGGAAAAAGAGGAGGACCCTAACTGAGATGGACTGACACAGAGGCTTCAACAATGGGCTCAAACACAGCAAGGACTGTGAGGATGGTGCAGGAACAGTGTTTTGCTCTGATGTACAAAGGGTCACTGTGACTCAAAATTGACTTGACAGCACCTAACAACAACAACAACATGAATAAATCATCTATTTTCCCAAACCATGCTTCCATATAACTATCAGTCCTGTGTATGTATTACTAAGTGATGATTTCTACTAATGTACATCTTTCTCTAGAGTTGGAATTCCAGAACATCTACACAATATAAACACAAGCCCACAGGCATCACAGATATCTTACCATTTCTAAGTACGCTACCAACATGAAACTACACTTAGTATTAGAGGTGTTTAATTCAGACACATAAAGGAAATCAACCTACTCAAATGTGAACAATCATAACATTTCCAACAAATATAAATCAGAAACATATATCAATATTTACCTGAGTCACCTGCATTCCAATAGGCCACATCCTATTCTGGCACCATAAGTTGGATTTCTTTCTACAGTGCCCACCCTCCTTGGTACTATGTTGAACAGGTCTAAAAAGACTCAAACGAATGCAAAATAGAAAAAATATCTCCAGATGTCTTCAAGTAAGAGAGTATGTGACAATGGAAGATCAAGAGAACAATCTACACACAACCCTGACTCTGGTTATCCTACTAAACTTACAATTTTTCTTTCCCCAAAGCAAAGCCACTCAGGGTTACATACTTATTCAAGGCATAAATGCCACTGTCTCCTCTTGAAGCAACCAGATTTGGATGACCAAATTCCTGGGTTTCATTTGTAATTCCCATAAAGGAATTAACTACCCTTCCTTCTGAACCCTTCCTTCAATAATTACTGGGCTAGTATCATGGGATTATCAAAGGTATTTTAGACAAACACATAAATGAGGAAATTAAACTGCTTGGATTGGAAGTTCTAGAAATATTTCCACTTTCACTCAATGAGCTATAGAATTATGTAAATTGTTCAGTACTCTGTAAGATTTATGACCCTATGAATAGGAACTAGAAGGCTCAAAAAAAGACTGGTATATTTAACAGCTTGCCCTGGAGGTATGGGTCTGGATTGAGGTGCCTATCTGACCTAAATTAGGCCTAAGCAGTCCAATTGGTATTTGAAATATTAGATGTTTCAGGTCTCTACCTCACTTCTTCCTCTCCTCCCTAGCTTTAGAAACACTACTAAATAATATTACACTGAGGTATGAGGTGGGAGGCGTAAAATACATCAACTTATCAGTCACATTCTAGAAAGGAAACAGAAAAGATACAGGGTAGAACTACAACATGTATGCAATTCTACTTTATCTTGATGAGACACATCATAAACATACATCTTATTCAATCTCAGATGGGCATGGTAGTTCAGAAGAGTCAGATAAGAGCACTCAAAACAATTAAGAGGTAAATGTAGGGTTTATGAGAAAAAGTAAAAGGAATTGGGATTCCTTCTAGGATGGAGAAGCAGCTGCCAAGGGGATTTAAATCTTCAGGTACAGGAAAAGTTAGTACATGAAGGATGATGGGTGATTAGTTACTTCTCATCTCTATGGAGGGCAAGGCATCATGATTATGAAGTTATGATAGTAATGTGATTCTGACAACAGAGGGATTGTACCCTAGCAATCTGGATCAACTTCTCGACACAGAAAAGGTACACTGCAGTAGATTTCTGAAGGAAGCTATAAAATCTTCAATCTCCTTTTGTAGATATATTTAAAACCAAGATGAATCTGATATAATAATGATCAGACTAATGAAAGTTATACCCAAATATGAAACTTAAAGATCAAGTTGCACCCAGGATCTCATGTAGTAGGTCATTACTTTCAGTATTTTTTTAAATCTCCTTGGAAATGACTCTTACACTGAAGGATTTTGATTGTTGCTGGAATTAGCCATCCAATAGCAGTGGCCTCAACACACTGAAGAGAATATCATTCTGAACTCAGACCATACATCTTCTCCACTTTATTAAAGCAGTGGAGACACACAGAGGAGAGGAACAGACTGATGAAGTTGAGGCAGAGGTGAGAACAGGATCCAAGTCTCAACTTTATTTCATTCTCAAGCTTATCTTGGGAATTACACCTTCTAACTAAGAAAAGATTGCTTCCAATAGTGAGATTAGGGTAAAATGGCTAAAGGGACATTAGGAAGAGATCATCATGAAAAACTTTTCCTGAACTCAACAATCTTTGCCTTGTGTGGGTTCTCTGGGGAATACACAGATGAAGTGTATGGCAGCTTTTCTCTCATATGAACTTCCCGGTGTTTACTAAGAACAGAACTCTTACTGAAACGTTTACCACACTGGACACATCCATAGGGCTTCTCTCCAGTATGTGTTCGCTGATGTTCTCGAAATCTTGTACAGTTATTGAAACTTTTTTCACAATCCACACATTTGTAAGGATTCTCACCCGTGTGGACTCTCCGGTGGGTGCTAAAATGAGAACTGTTGGTAAAGCTTTTCCCACACTCTCCACACTGATAAGGCTTCTCACCTGTGTGGGTTCTCTGATGTATAATAAGACTTGAGCTTTGACTAAAGCATTTCCCACACTCTCCACATCTGTATGGTTTCTCTCCTGTGTGAATCCTCTGGTGAGCACCAAAGTTTGAGGAATCATTAAAGCTTTTCCCACAGTCAAGACATTTAAAAGGTTTTTCTCCTGTGTGGATTCTTTGGTGTCTAATTAAGCTCCTGCTTCTACCAAAGCACTTTCCACAGACACTACACTTACAGGGATTTTCCTTCTGATGGTTCATCCGGCACATAAAACGAGCACTCCTTCCAAAGCTTTCTCCATATTTGAGAAGTCGGTAAGATCTCTTCCCCATGAAAGGCCTTTGATACATTACAGGTTTCCCTAATTCTCTAGGCTGAGACACCAGCTTTCCCTGTCTAATTCCTTGAAGGTTTTCCCATTGTCTCCCTGAGATGCATTCCCTTTTGTGATATTTACCTGGATCAGTATTCTGGGAAACCACCTTTTTAGACTTTTCTATTAATGTCCTATGCTGTTCCATGTCCTTATATATTGCCTGTGTTGGATCCTCCTTGAAGCTATTTCCAATTTCAAAATCTGAAAAAAATAATAAGACAGTAAGTATTTCACACAATCCTTATATTAACACAAATCAATTAACATGGCCTACAAGGCTCCGTTAAGTTCCTAGGTGGTGCAAATGGTCTGCACTCAACTACTAACGGTTGACAGTTTCAACCATCCCAGCAGCACTGTGGAAGAAAGGCCTGGCAATCTTCTCTGTGAAGACTACAGCCAAGAAAACTATGGAGCAGTTCTACCATGTTAACACATGATGTTGTCATGAGTTGGAATTGACTCAATGGTTAATGACTTCAGCTACTTTTGGTTTACAAGGCTCCATATGCTGTAGTCCCTAACTATGTCACTGCTCTCTGGTCCAGTGACTCTTCTCTGATTCATTACATTTTATTTTCCTGTCATTTTTATGAATATGCCAATACCTTTTCAGTAACACCCAGTACACAGTAAGCCTACAGAAATGTTTTCTGAATTAAATTATAATCCAAGTCATTATTTCCATCCACATCCTGAGTACATGGGAACAACTTAGCTTAACTCGCTTGTCACTCTCTATCTTGTTTTCATCATTTCACAACCATACTAAATTGAATTATAATAAATAGTGTTTAGATTCAAGGACCAAATCCAAATTCTTCAATGGACTTCTACGTTCATCAATATCTAATCATATCCTATCCAAACTATTTCTTTTCCTCAAATGTTTCTGTCACTTTTTTTTTCTGGCTGTACCACACAAAGACCACATTGATTCAAAACATCATTTTCACTGTTCCCTAAAACTGTGATTATCTTCTCTTCACTCTTTCATCTAAGTCCCACAAACACTACAAGGTATATCTCGGATACCAGCCTTTCCATTAAGTTTTCAGGACAGAGCACACTAAATAGCAAAGAGACAAAGGCTTTGCAATCAGCCAGCCCTGGTTCTGATTCCATCTTGGTCACATTAATTGTGCAATTTTTGTATTAACTTTTTATTATCAAAAAGTCAAACACAGAAAAATAGAGAGAAAAGTACATACAATGAAGTTCCATGAATGACTTACCCAGATTTAACAATGATTTACTCATGGCCAACCTGGTGTCTTCATTTCTACATGCTCTGCTCCCCCTACCTAGGCTATTCTGAAGCAAATTCCAGACACGGTATTATTTCATCCATACACAAGCTGTGTGACTTTGGCCCAACCAGGTACGTTTGATTTCCAAACTCGTGCTCTAAAGCATTTCCCTATTTATTGCCTTGTTTTCACTGCTAGTGTCAACATCATTTTCCTTCCCATATTCAGTTGAAACTGCTGACATCTCTCAATCCAGTGACTATGGCCTAAGTTGGAAGGAACAGGGCAGCAATCAAGCAATCTATAAACAAAAACCTCTAACGATGATGTCTTTTTATTTAGCAATAATTCTTCTGAAGCATTTTGACTGTTTCCAACATTATTTTGGGATTTGGAAAAAGTCACAACCTGTGAACTGGCTCAGCTTGAACCTGATGGCTAATTTGATGAAGTCTGGTGTTCACTTTTAAAACAAGATCCACAAGAGATGGTATTAAAGGACTTTGTTTCCTTAGGGGCCCAGTATGTGCCAGATGCATAGTTATGGGGAAAGTATGAAAGAGTATCTAGAATTGTTGAATCAGGGTAAAGTAAGCCTTGATAATTTCAGCCTTCATTAAGTTTCCACATAAACACTACCAGAGAGCACATGTAGACACTTCCTTCTCTATCATAACTGGACATAATTTTCTCTTGCTGGGTCTCAGTCCATAGTCAATCCAGTCAAACTAGACCAATTTGCTCCAAGAAACAAGTCTGAACTACCTTACAAATTCAAATGTATACTGAGGACTTACTATAGCGGTATAGAAAGAAAGACTCCTGTCCTCCACAAACTCACCATCTCCTGGGAGATCTTAGGACACACAAGGTGCTCAGTGCCATAAGACACAGAAAGTATCATGGCAGCTGAAAGAGAATTTGGACACGTAGATATGCAAAAAACACTCAAGGTGCAGGGAACACCATGAGTTAAGGTTTAAATGTGAAAAAGCTTAAATGGTACGTCAGAAACAGCAAGTAGCTTTGCTTTGAATAAGCATAGAGTTGGGGAAAAAATAACAAGTAAGACTAGAAGGATAAGATGAAACCACATCAAAGCTGTTAACTTTAATACAAATTTGGGTGGGGCAAACTGGTTTGGAGACTCTTAGAATTTGTCTGTTTGTCGCATTGTGGTGGCTTGCATGTTGCTGTGATGCTGGAAGCTACATTCTTGGTATTTCAAATACCAGCAGGGTCACCCGCGGTTGACAGGTTTCTGTGGAGCTTCCAGACTAAGACAGACTTGGAAGAAAGATGGGGCCATCCACTTCTGAAAAAACTGGCCACTGAAAACCTTCAAATAGCACTGAAACACTGTCTGATATATTACTGGAAAATTTTATGAACAGCAGTGAAACATCTTCTGACATAGTGCTGGAAGATGAGCCCCTCAGGATGGTATTAGAAGGGAGCAGTCCCTGGAGAAGGATATCATGCCTGGTAAAGTAGAGGGTCAGCAAACAAGGGGAAGAACATCAACGAGATGGATCGACACAATGGCTGCTATGATGGGTTCAAGTACAGCAAATCTTGTAAGGATGGCACAGGACTGGGCATTGTTTCACTGTGTTGTACAGAGGGTTGCTCTGAGTTGGAGCCAATGTGACAGCACCTACAAACAATAGCAATAACAACAGTCTAGGCAAAAGACAAAGACTGAGCTAGGGACAGTGGCTATGTAACTAAAGAGGGGACAGACGAAAGTGATACTCTACAACAGCTGATAAAACATGCCATCTGCCTGAACGCAAATGATGAGAGGAGAAAGGAGGTATCAAAAAATATCTCTAAGGTTTTAAGTTTGGGTGAACTTAGGGGGACATAGTTAGAGCCACAATATAGGAAGAAAGATGGTGATTTTAGTTTTGAACATTTTAAGTCTGAGCTGCTGGTAAAATGTCCATGTGGTGCTATTCTGCAGTCAGTGGGGAAGATGCAGGCGGAAGTGAGGGCCAGAATAAAGTCTATTTCTCTATTCTTTTTCTCAATGTATATCACATGTGATGGTGAGATAGTTCTGTTTCGAGCTTATGGACACATCTCACCCATCCAATTTTTTTCCTTATGTAGAGATTCCAAGTCTCCATGCCCCCATCCTCCTACAGTATTCCTACACAATGTAAGAAACTGTCTGACCTATACAGACAAAATCAGACACTGAGAGCCAAAAACCAAGCCACCAGAATCCAACCCCTTACTTGAATGGAGAAGACGATCTCTGTTTCATTCATTGTTGAATCTCCTGATCCTCAAATAGTGCCTGGCCTTCAAATATATGGTGAAGGAATGATCATGAGTGATGTGCGAGATTTACTAATTCTTTAGTAAATCACACATGCTTCTGTTTTAGACTCAAACTCCTTAATGATCCTTACCACTTGGGTGTTGCAGTAGACCTGTAGATCCCTGGAATTCTGGCTCTTGTACAACTTCCTCCTCACTCATTCTCTCACTGCCAGAATCTTCTACTATTGCCTTCTGTGAGGTTTCCTCAGGTTCCCAGCCTGTAGGCTCCTGAGGCTCAATCTCAATACTCCCTATTTCTTGCCTTGAGGGTGACGGGACTTCTTCTGGGATATCAGTAGAAGGTGCAGACCCTCGTGAGTTAATCAGGGCATCCATCTCCTTGTAGAATGCACAAGACTCTAGCACATGGCCATTTTTCACCTTGCGGTAGCTCTTCTGTAAGCTTTTGAACTTAGTCCGACACTGCTCCGGTGTACGGAGAAAGCCACACTCTCGCAGCTGTTCAGCCACGGCCCCATACAATTTGCTCTTCCGATGACAGGCTTGAAGTGCTTCATAAAACCGAGTCTCACGGAGAATATCAAGAAAAGTCTTGGTTTCTTCATAGCCCCAGTGTACACCTGCCATTCAAGGATAAAGTTCAGAGATCAAAGAAAAGGAGTCTGTGGTTGCTATACTATATACATTCCATAACGTAAGGGCTAAGAAAAAAATTGCATTCACTGCAGCAGTAGCTCTGGTAGCATAGTGGCTAAGACACTTGCCTGCTAACCAGATGGCTGGCAGTTCAAACCCACCAGCCACTCCTCGGAAGGAAGGTTGGGCAATCCT